AATATAATTAAAGTGGAAAACCAATGCAGCAGCTTCTCATAAAATGAAAGAAGCTATGTCCTTGACTAAGATACGTAACAATCGAATCTTCATGCACCACACAGAATCTTGTCTTCACATGCAAATTATGTAATAAAGAGTGAACTTTGTGTTAAATTTGAATCAAGATCTAGGCTTCCTGAACATATAAACTCAACTTAGCTAAGGAAGCTACAATCCTTTAAGTGTCCACACCAAAGTTAGGTTAGCCTAAAAGTTCCTTACTCACAATGCAAACAAGGCGAGCAGAGGAAAATCCATTGGACAAGATATTGAATCTTCTAGTAGTTTAAAGATACATCATGTACCCATAACAGAATATTTGTCACTTTCTACCACTTTCATTCCCCTATTTTGTTTGTACACAAGGCTTAAATCACCTAATTCATCACAATCTTCTACAAATATTTCTGTTTTTTGGTTCACAAGTAATACCATAAACTAATAGTCACTCTCCCTTAGAAAGTCAGACAGTATCGGTACTCCTTCCATGAAGTAAGAGTATTAGCCATCTAACTGGGCAAAAAGACCATGGTGTAGTTTCAACAGCTAATATAGATAAGCTAAATTCAACAAACCCTCAAGGAAACTGTCATGCGAGTCATATTTCTTGCTCTAACCTTTCTAGTGTAACATCAACTATGGCCAAAACTGTCACATCATCTTATCTACACGATAATTTGGTTTTTGAATCCTGATATATATGCATTTTTTAAATAAGAAAGCAGAAGTCCATCTCATCTTAATAGTCCACTGCACCAGCTTTCAAAAGTAATAAACCAAATACATTCTATATAGTTAACGAAGAGGACCTGGTGGTGCTGTATCATGATCGCATATGTAGACTCGCATGCCACCCTGCACAAGTTTCTTACAAAAGTAAATAGTAGAGTTTAAACTGAAAAGGAGAATACAGAATACGGATGCATATTAACATTGTAGAACTGCATGTCTCATGTCTGGACGTCTACAAAATTGTAAACTACTGGATATGGATATTCAAAATGTGATATACCAACAATTAAAGCATAAATGTAACAATTCTTCCTGCAATGTTTAACTTTTGAATGAGTAAACAACCTTGACTTTAAAGCTGAATCATCTATTACAACCATACATAGTAAAATACTTCAATTTTACTCTGCCAAGAGCCTCTCAAAAATTGTTAACAAACCCCTAAGTTGCAGTCCTATCAGCGCATATCAGAATTGCAGTATCATCAGTTAAAACAACAGTGTGAAATACTTCAATTTTACTCCGCCAAGAACCTCTCAAATATTGTTAACAAACCAACACTACCTAAATTGCAGTCCTATCAGTGCAGATCAGACTTGAAGTATCATCAGCTAAAACAAAAGCGTGAAAACAAAGTCCATCCTTCTTGTTCTCATAAAACACGCCACACTACTTAAGACAACCTCTATTACCATAAACAAGGTAAGAATCACAATAACACAATTATTTAAGCACACAAGGCCATGAATTAGGTTCACTACCAACTAAAAACACCATAAAAATGGCCGCTAAATACCAATGTTGTGAATCAAATTCAAACCATGAAATTAAAAAAAAAATCCCTTTTTTTCCCCTCCAACACTGATTAAAGAAAAGCACGTAATCAAAATCCCCCACAACATCAAACACAAATAGCATACTCTTCAAACCTGAATAGCAAACAGTTAGCATCTAATTAACCTCCCCAAACCCTTAACGTCAATGGTTACCGTCCCTTCTTAACTCCATTTTCACCAACTAATTCTCACATTAGCAAATGCTATACAATTTTCCAGACTTATACGAACTTAAGCAATTTTACTACATTATACATTTAACTTTAGTACCTTAAATTACAAATTTTTCCAATCCAAAAAAAAAAAAAGAGAAAAATCAAATGCTTAAAAAGGGAAAACTTATGACGAAAAATTGAAGTACCGGATTGGAAGAGAGGACAGTGGAGGAGAAGAGGCCGCGAGAAGGAAGGTTGGAGAGAAATTCGGCGGCTCCGCCCGTCGGATTTTGATTGTTGGAATCGGACGGCAGAGCTGAAGAGCCCTCCATTTATGGAACCAGGAAAAACTACCAGATGAATTAAATCAAACCTTCCTGCAAGGGGAAATAGACATATATGAAGGGGAGGGGCAGAGCCGAGGGTTAGCAGACAAGAGTCATTATGTGTTTACTATAGAAGACGACGATGATATGTGGAAAGACTATTTTACCCCTTTAGATGCATGTTGCCAACTCATCAAAGATTGGCATGTTGGATAGTTGACATGGTGGTGGGGACTTCTCTCTGATGATGTGGCAGTGGATGACATGGATGTGGGCCAACCTGAAAACATCATAATTGGGCCGGGAAATAATATTAGAATGACAATTTAATTCATCTAGTATTCGATTCGATTTGCTTGTATAGGTTTTGAGATGAAAATAATATTAGTTACATGTGAATTAGGTGGTCGCATTTCAATTTCTTTTGTTGTTAGACAGTTTAACAAAAGAATGAAAGAGAACTCTTAATTTAAAACTTAAATAATATGATTGAAAAATTGAATGTAAGCATATGATACATATGAGCGATATATTTTTTAAGAACATTAATACGAGTTAAAGAGTTTTTAGATTCTATTTAGGGAAAATGACCTGTTTCATTCCTCACATTTCGTAAAAATATTCTTTTCGTCTCTCACATTTAAAACGAAGCAAATTGGTCTTTCACATTTAAAAATCCAAGTTTTTACATCATAGAAATAAACTCTCAGTTGTGAATCAAACCATCTAACAACCCGATTACAAATTTTGAAGGCAGAATTGGTAGATCACTCGCAAAAACATATTTCCAACAAATAAATTAAAGCAATTAAAAAATCTTAATTAAAACCCATTTGTTTCTTCAAAAGAACGAAATAGTGCTAAAGCTCTCAAGCACTAAACCCTTACTGCAACAAAACTGAGGAATATGTCTAAGGGTTTAGTGCTTGAGAGCTTTAGCACTATTTCGTTCTTTTGAAGAAGCAAATGGGTTTTAATTAAGATTTTTTAATTGCTTTAATTTATTTGTTTGAAATATGTTTTTGCAAGTGATCTATCAATTCTATCCCCAAAATTTGTAACCGGGTTGTTAGATGGTTTGATTCACAACTGAGAGTTTATTTTTAGGATGTAAAAGTTTGGGTTTTTAAATGTGAAGGACCAATTTGATTCGTTTTAAATGTGAGGGACGAAAGAATATTTTTACAAAATGTGAGGGATGAAACATGTCATTTTCTCTTCTATTTAATTTTAAACTTGCTTTATATAGACAATGTATAGGCCAATTATCAATTTGATAACCTTTTTTTTTATTTAATGCACAAACTAATAAGCCTCTCGTTTATCTTTTGACAGTATATTCGAACCAAAAAAAAAAAAACTCACATTGTATCTAAAATTTTGCACATTCAAGGGCTTCGCCCAAGGGGCTGTTAAGTCCAACCCTTACTTACCTCTTTAAGTGTCTAGTTGGGCTCCTTGTAATTAAGATCACATGGCTTGCTAATCACTTGGGTTTAACTAGGATAAGTTGTTAGGCTAGTTGTGCTCAATAAGAAGAAATTACATTTGTTTAGGGCTCACAGAAGATGTATGTACATAACGTATTTATGATCTTATATGTTTCAAATAAGCTTTTTTATGTCAATTGTTATCTCAACCCGCAAATTCACCATGTGATGATAGGAGAATTTTTGTGTACATTTACTGCAAACTCAACTATGCACATAAATCTTGCCAAGTTTGGAATGATAGAGCCTTGGGTCATTCTAATAAGGTTTACACATCAAGAATGATCATAGTTATTAAACTCGGCTTGGAGCTCACCTTGAAAAGGTGATTGAGTCATCGGTTCAACCGTAGGTTGCATAATAATTATATTATATAATATAATAATATAATTTAAATTATAAAAATAGTAAAATTTTTAGTTGGCGGTTCAATTGGAGGTTTTTTCTCAGTTCATTGTTTGAACCGATGAATCATTGATTGATCAATGAGTTTATTGTTTAACTAGTTTAATTAGCAATCCAATCCGATCTTATGATTGGTTCACTGAATTAATTGGTTCACCCACCAGATCGAACCAAATTTTATAACTATGGGAATGATAATTTGATCATAACCTAAATGACCTCAAATAATATTTGGGTAGATTTGATATACATGCTACATTATAATTCATATGGTACATTCAAGAGTCACATATTTAGGATGATGTACGATGATATAAGAAGAATGAATGATCGTAAGTGATTAGTAAAGTATGATGATACAAAAAAAAATTATAATGACTTTTGAATATATCACATGATCTACAAGTGATCCCTATATCTTATACAGAATTTTCCTAAACTTATAATCTTGTTGGAAGTTTGAGTCAATGCTCTTTATTAACTAAATCTAGCTCGAACAACAACATTTCTTTACAAGATATCATCGACAGAAATCAAGGTCGAGACAATGATCTGAGTCGACTTCATGCATATCAGCTCAAATGATGTTGGTACCAAGCGTGAACTAGCAAAGTCTACAAAGATATTTTTGCATACACATCAACTTAGAATAGATATATATATATATACGTATATAATACACATGTCCTAAGAAGAAAAGAATTAACTTAGTGCCACAAGAGGAGTGGACATGATGCAAATCCGGATAAGTCGTGGCTTTAAAGTTTAAACTAGTAATACCGTGGGTGGTATGGATAAGAAGAAGCCGAGTAGGACTGGGGAAATTATAAGTGAACTTTGACCATACAACTCCATCACAAGTCATGGATCTTGGTATCAGATTTTCAACACGTGTAACCATATGAAATGATGAACGTCCGAGATTTTACTTCAAGTTCTAATCCTTGATCTGAACTCGTGTGAGTTGCGCAGGATTCAGGAACGTTCCTTTTTGTCTTAAGTCTCATCATTATTTTATGCAATTATTGTCACTACTCAATACCTATGCTACGAAATGTGTCAATGTTCCATGAAAGTAACAAGTATCTAATTCTTGTCTGTAACTATCTGATTGCTCTGCGGAGTTTGCAAGAATTGATAGATTAAGAGGAAAAGAGGAGGGTTGTGGGTGTGTTTTAGTGAAGATTAAGGAAAGATGATGATTGAAGAAGGTAGTTCAACTCCAAGAAGCCCAGAAGCCAAGGTGGGGATGCAAGTGGAGGATTTATGGGATGTTCAAGAACCTCAGTTGAGTCCTACTGAGAAGCTTAATGCTTGTTTTGAGAGCATCCCAGTTTCTGATTTTCCTCCTGCTCCATCTTCCCAAGGTGATCTCAAACTCCCCTCTGATTAATAAAGAAGTGAACTTTATAGTCGGGTACAAATTTGAGAATTGTCTGTGCAAACATTGAGGTCCTTAGAAAAGTGTTGATATGAGTGGTTTTTCGTTGTTCTTTGATCCCTTTTGGATTAAAGACAGAAACTTGTAGCATGATCTCTAAGTTTACCGTTAATTTTTGAATTTCAGGATCAGGGTCTTTGATCTCATGCTAATGACTGTTGTCTGATCGATTGAATAAGTGGAAATTGTTGTATGTGAGAGGTAGTAGTTTTTTCCTTAGGTTAATTCTCGTTTATCTGGTTTGGTTTCTAAGTCAAAAATGGGATTGAATTGATCAATAAAGGAATTGGAACTGATTGTGTTGTTTGTTATGTATTCTCAGTTGGTATTCATCTGTTTTATGCTACTTTGTTGAACAAAGGTATGAGGTAATGTTTGAAAATCTACACAGGGTCATGTTTCTTTTTTGGTTGCAAGATGATTGTTTATCACACTAACAGAATACCTAATATAATTACAAGAGCAAGATTGAGAGTTGGAATGCATTGCTTTTAGCAGCAGTGAATGCAGGTCCTCCAATCAACCTCATTTAATATTTATATTGAGGAAACTCAAAGGTTGCACCTTCTGTGCAATACTGGCTTAATCCATAATGTCCTTGGAGATCCAGTGATTTTATGTTTACTTCCATTACATGCCCACACTCTGCACCAGGCTCTAATAATGAGCATTTTTTCAAGAAAATGAATGTGAGAAAGAAAAGTAGGTGGCACTACACCTGTTCGACTTATGTCTTTATGCACTTATCTGCCTTTAAAAATGCTTAGATAAACAAGAATACCCCACATTTGATGGATGCCAAATTATTATGCTTGTGCTAATAATGTATGTTATCCACCAAAGCATAAAAGAAAGCAATTTGAATGATCAATTAATTCTCCATAACCCACTTCCAGGTCATCTATAGTCCTCCTAACCATGCTTGATTTCAGAATACTAGTTAAATACTTGAAATGTCGAAGAGCTTTAACCCAAAAAGAAGATGGAACATAAAAAGATATTTTGTAGGTTTCTCAAGTAAATCAATAATTTTAAAATATTTATGATCATGATAATAGAGATCAATTTCCACATTCAGTAACTTGTTATTGTAAAGATAAGTATGAAATTCATCACTTTTTATAACCAGGTGCTCTTTGAGACTGAAGAAATGACATTGCTTGGATGATGGAAAAATAGACACCATACAACCCCAATAGTTGTATATAGAAAGGTTTTTTTTTTGTTTGGAGGGGGGGGGGGGGGGAAGTGGACGTTATTTTTAATGTTCTAGATTATGCCCAATCTCCTTCCATTATGGTGCATCCACCATACAATTTGATGGCTGCTTTAGAAGCCATTGTCTCCCATCAAAGCACTTACATTATCTGTTTCATATTTGCGTATTTGTGATGGTCCCAGCTTGGTTTGACTTTATCAGCCTAAGGGCTAAGATTTTTTTCTCCTTCTTGTTTAGTTGTTGAGATAAACTCAGATTCCAGCTTGGCTGAAGTGGTCAAGTTACTAGCCCAACATAAAATCCTGAGTGCACCTGTCGTGGATGTTAAAGCTCCAGAGGATGCGAGTTGGATTGATAGATATATCGGAATTGTTGAGTTTGCTGGGATTGTTGTATCGATCCTACATCAGGTTTGTATTTGTAGTCAAATTGCCTCTATTATGAAATCATATGTTTCTGCAAACAACTTAGGTTTGGTGTTTCAATGGAATTTATCATAGTCAGTTTTATCGAGCCACTAATTCTTAGGAAATGGAGTTGTGGACTTAATTATCATTCAGATTTTGGAAAGTTGTCACTCTTAGACCTTTAAACTTTTCTCTTGGAATAATCAAAATCCTCAGTTTGTCTCTTGGTTTAGTTTATCATTCTGAGGCATGACTCAAGAAAGGGCGGAATCATTTTCTTTGAACCAGTAATTTTCTGTGAACTGTTCCATGTCGTTCTCAGATAATAGGTTTAACCAATTTCTTGGTTTTCCAACACATTAAATACTACAATAATGAGCTTGTCTAATGGTAATAGTAGCAATTATCCCCAAAAAGAATAAAAAATTCAAGATAGACAGAGTTCTTCAGTTACTGGAGTTAAAATTTGTTGTTTCTTTTTTCTTTTTGTGTGTGTGTGTGGGGGGGTTGGGGGGGGGGAGAATGGGGTGAAATCATTGTTTCTTGACGTTGTGCAATATAATTCAATCTTTTTCACCAGAAAGTAAGGCTTTTTGGGGATTTGGCGGTGTTGTTAAGTGTTTTGGTGATCTTGGGTCCTCTGGCTCCGCTAATCTGATTTGCCCCTGTGCCTTGAGCAAAACTGCAGATTTTAACTTTCAGAAATTTTTCTTTCCATGGAATATTTTATTATATTTAGCAATGAGCTACTGGAAAATTTTTCCAACTGGATTGTTCTTCAATTTGATCTTTTTATTCCCTTTGATGTTCAATAATGTTTCCGTAAATTATTGTCACCTGTGGGGCATAAGTTAAAAGATGTATGGTCTGCGCTTCTTTCTGCAGTCAGAAAAAATGGATGGATCTGCTGCATTAGCTTTTGAGCTGTTCAGTGAATCTGAGGATGGCATTGGTCCTGCTGTTGCTGCGGCGGCTAATGGAATGTCTTCCCCAAGATATAGAAGTTTGCACCCTGAATCTCCTACTGCAACTTCTGGGGACTTTTTTGAGACCTTGACTTCTTCTGACTTCTATAAGAACACAAAGGTTGTTTTTCCTTCTTATTTGAAGTTGAATCTTTCAGCTATTATTGATTATAGTGTAGTTCTCAAAGCTTTTGGTGTTATTCTTCTTGAGACATTTCTACTTGCATTAACTGATGATTTCGCAGGTTGGAGACATATCAGGGTCATTCCGCTGGGCTCCATTTCTCGCCCTGCAAAAATCGAACTCTTTCTTGACAATGCTTTTGCTGCTATCCAAGTACAGGATGAAGAGTGTTCCTGTGGTTGACCCAGGGGAACAAAAGATTGATAACATCATTACTCAATCAGCTGTCATTCACATGCTTGAAGAATGTGCTGGCCTTCATTGGTTTGAGAGCTGGGGTTCAAAGAAACTATCTGAACTTGGTCTCCCTCTAATGAAGCCCAGCCACATTATTAAGGTACCAGACTTGGTTACTTTACTCGATGACATCTAGCAGTATATAGTTTTTGTCAAGATAGTTGATATTTTCTTTCCCAGTATGTGTGTATATATATACATATAGCAATTCCAGATTCGGCAAGGAACAACAATGTATTTATGAATCTTAACATTTTTATTCAACATATATCTTCGAGTAAGTTGTCCTTTTGCAACATACCTGCTGCTTCTTCCACTGTGCAGCACAAGAATTTAAAAGGAAACAAGATATAGGTTTTAGCAATGTGGAATTGGTTTGGTGTATCTGAGAAGAATAATAATTTGGACTGTATTAACTTTCTTAATTTTTGTTCTCTTTGGTTTCTTTCAATTCCAAACGATGACATTTTTGGCATCTAGACATGGATGCATGGTTGGCAATAAGAATACAAGCTAAATCAGACCATTGTCTGTTTGAATTTCTCTTTAAAGTTCACCTTTGCGTAATTTGAACAAGAGATCTTTTTTTATTCATTTTTTCTTTGGCCACAGACATTACATTTGGTACTTTTTGAATTGCTTTTTCTGGTTTACTTCATCTGGACTGAAACTTGGACTCGCTCTCCTTTCTTCATCTTATTTTGATGAAATTAGTTGTATTTCTAATTTTCCCACATTAGTTTCTCCCTTATAGATGACAAGCTAAGGTCACGTTCTAGTTGCACTACCCAAAACTCATAGTAAAAGAAGATTTATGCCTCGCTTTTCAAAGTTTTTCTTCGTCTTCAATGACAAACATCCAGTTTTGTGCAAATATATGGTGCTATCTTTTACGTACATTTTTCCTCCTCTTTTTGTAGGTCTATGAGGATGAACCAGTGCTTCAGGCTTTTAAATTAATGAGACAAAAAGGAGTTGGTGGGATTCCTGTTGTTGCAAGTAATGGAAGAAAGGCTATTGGTAACATAAGCATCAGAGATATTCAGTTCCTTCTACTTGCACCAGAGATATACAAAGAATTCAGGTCTGTGAACAATTTAGTGCGTTTTCTCTTTACAATGTTCATGTTCTTTATTGCCTGAATTCTCAGAAAAATTATAAGATGGGGAGAAATTGTGAGGTCTGGAGTTAATTTTAGAACATGTATGGCAGTACAAACTTGCTTTTGTTTTGTATGCTTCAGTAAATGGAAAGTGTAGAGGCTGTAATAGAGCCGAGACTTTGGGCAGGTTGGCAACTTTGGTCTAGCTTAAATATTTCTACTAGATATATTGGCATCTTTGTAGTGCATTTACCCCATAGTTCAAAATTTGAGAACCTATACAAAGTAAAAACATATACACACATTAGTAAATTGAGGTTGAATAAAAGGTTCATGTATCACTATTTCTGAGGAAATGACTAAATTTAAAAGCTGTACGGGGCGTCTACTTGTTCATGGAGCGAAGCTTCAAATAACATGAGACTGAAGATCTACTTCAATTCTGCTTTCATATACCGTAAGTTAGCAGTTTGGTCTTAAAAGTGTACTCTACTAAGCAATCAAAACTATTGGACATTCAGTTTTTGCTTTTTGGTTTGGTTTATTAATATTTGAGGGACTTTACTGGGTGCTTTTCCTGTTCAAGTGTTGGTACACAAGTGACTTTACCCCTATTTATCAAATACTGATAGTGTATGTGCTATTCCATTTACAGATCTATCACGGCCAAGAACTTCCTGACAGCAGTTCGAAGCTATCTGGAGGAGCATCAAAAGGATTCCCCACTCTTGAAGAACATGGTAACATGCACAAGAGACAGTACACTTAAAGATGTTATTATGAAGCTTGATTCCATGAAAATCCATCGGATATACGTCGTTGATGATCTGGGAAATCTAGAGGGGGTGATCACGCTAAGAGACATCATTTCAAAGCTAGTGCATGAGCCCCGTGGTTACTTCGGGGATTTCTTTGATGGTGTCTTACCATTGCCAGCAAACAGCAGGGTTTAACATCAGGAAATTCACTGGCAATTCCTCGATGGTGATACCTGTCTCTCTTATGGAGGATTTCAGAATCTAACATCCTTTGGCATGTTCATTTTCTGTGCTTTTGTTGCTCAAAAGCGGCTGCTGAAAGTGATGTTTCCTTTTAGACGAGTTTCATGTAGTTAGTGACACCTTTATTTCTCTCTGACGTGTTGCATAGATGACTTCCAGCGACTATCTTTTCTTAATAAATTGAGGAAAGATTTTTAAGTATATTTTGAGTACCAGATTTTTCTTCAACACATCTTCCTTTTTCATATTTTCATCAGATTAACATACCAAGTAGCCTACAGGCATATCAACATCAAGTAGTTTTACCTGTTGTAGTTTTATCTCCATAATAATCACCATACCATGTGAAGTAGAGGCATATTACCCAAGCCCTGGAATTTTATCGCCTTATCTGTAGAACAAGGTGTTGCTGCTGTGGTAAGCAATTGTGTGGGAAAGAATAGCTATCCAAGTATAGGCATTCTTCAAACATCACTGTGATTTTCAATTTGAAGGGCGTGTTTTCTTTTTCAAGAACAAACAGAACAGTACCTTTTAATGACATGTTTAATAGTTAGCAGTTTAACCATACTGCGTGGAAAATAAAACTGTAAATTGAAAAGTATGACAATGAGGAGATGATTGCTGCAGTTGATACAACTTGAGTTTATGAAAGCAATGACTGAAAAAGATTAGTACAAACCAAAGTTAGTCTATGGATTAAGAGTAAATTATAGTAGCTGGCATGCTTGAGAGAGAGAATTTCTTTAAGGATTTGGGTCAAGTGTTTGCCCCAAAGGTAAGAAATAAGAACTATAGATGTTCCTACGAGTTGGCAAAAAATGCCCACAATATTCGAACAAATCCAATCTGAAAACTAGGGTTCGTGATTGGCGCACTATTTGATCGGATCAAAAGAGGGTCACGTACCGGCTTATATACAGAGCAAGTTGGGGTCAAAAAGAATTAAGAACCTACGGGTATCCAACCTGCCCCACACATATATATTTTTTATATTTATACACATACTACAAAATAATATTTTTAAAACTAACTAAATAATTTGATAGAAAAAATTGCGCTACAAATATGAGAGGCTATAGTTTGCTTAGAAGATTTATTTGTAGATGTCATGATCTAATATTTTTTAGAAAAGAGTTTAATTGCGGGTCAAAAAGAATTAAGAACCTACGGGTATCCAACCTGCCCCACACATATATATTTTTTATATTTATACACATACTACAAAATAATATTTTTAAAGCTAACTAAATAATTTGATAGAAAAAATTGCGCTACAAATATGAGAGGCTATAGTTTGCTTAGAAGATTTATTTGTAGATGTCATGATCTAATATTTTTTAGAAAAGAGTTTAATTGCTATGAAATGTATATTTAAGAAAAAAGGTACTACTTATTTCAAATTTTCATTGATTTTGAATTTTTTAATTTTTTTTCTTTTTCTTGTAGTCTTTTTACTTGTTTGTTTCTCAATAAGAGACCATTTTTTTTTTAGAAAAAATCTATGTTGAATTTTAGATGAATATATAAAATACAAAATTAAATTAGTATAAATTATTTTTTAAAAACATTAAATGATGAGTAGGAGAGCAGATACCCATTGACCTGACTCTCTTTCCGTGAATATCCGATAATCGAGTAGTCACTGATATATGAGACGAATAAAGATCAAAAAATAACTAACCTGCCAAGTGCGAATTCGGTCAGCCAAATGGTGCACGGAACTAATATCCAACCGTGCATACCCCAAAGATGTTCTTGAAAGACTTCCACACTACACGTTATTGAATTGCCTCACACTTGGATACACTCGGTTTTTAAAGACCGATGACCTAGATTGTGCCACATCATTTCACCAAATAATATAGCACAATCTGGACCATTGATACTTTAAAAACTGGATCTACCAATTTTAATGCTATTGAATTTATTGATGCTTTGAGGTGGTTAAATCATTTGATTTCAACGATTAGGGGAAAAAAAGAGGAAAAAAAAACTGAAATGAAATGTTAATTTTAATCTGTTTTATGAAACAAATTGTCAATAAGTCCTGCAAAACAAGTATCACGTTCGTCTGTGGGATAAATAAAGCACTCAGTAGCATATCAAACTGCATCATATAGACAAAATAGAAGCAAATAAATATTAATAATGCAATAAGACATTGACGACAGAAGAGCAAAACGGGATAAACACAGCTGCTGTTTGTTCTGTATTAACACTGCCACTGGCATCTATATCCCGGTTACAATCTCAGCATTCGAAAAATTATCACGAATACCAGTTTGCAACTTCGTGAATCCAAAAACAAGCCTGAGAGCTTTTCTTACAATTCACAGCTCCAGACAATGGCACCCACAAAAATTGTATGGCAGGCAAAATAATTACAACCTTTTGGGTATGAATCTACTTGACGCAACTGCACAGCGCAAGCCACCGTCAACTCGAGTAAATCTCAGCCACTGAGCTCTGAAAAAATAAGCATTGTTTTGAAAATCTACATCGCAGCTTAACTTCTTGTAAGCGTTACTTGCCAGATCTCCTAAAAAATGCTAATACGCCTAAACCAGCAACTAGAGCAGCTCCAGCTGCCACGGCACTGTACGCTGACGCCCATGCATCTTCATGAGCATAGTCCATACTGACGGAGCCAGAACCTTTCCTATGACCAGGTCTTCCTGAGTAAGCTAAATGTAATCTTAGTCCCTGTTGAAGTTAAAAATGGTTAGTGTCATTAACTGCTCACCGTTGTAACGAGGAAGAACATCCAGAGTCAAAATGACAGAACTGTCTTTCTAAATGGTAAAGGAACCTATGTGCCACACCAATTACAAGATTCTCAACTTCAGATTTTCTGACCCTACTATGAAAACCCAAGTATACCTTCCAACCAGCCGACCTTGCATGGTCCACAGCTGCTACAAGATCACTATCTGATGCAAGTACCACCTTGTCATGGTCTTCATCTTCATACTGCAGCACAATTATTATATAAGAATAAGAGCATTCAACAGAGACAAAGAAGAACTAATGCGTTCACTGAAGGAGATTAAAAACAATGGTACTTTTTTAGCACCAAAGAAGAGAACAAGGAGTTGAGCCTACCAAAATCTGAGGAAGGTTTTTGCGGTCAATGTCATCACCCACTCTTTGAATAATTGAAGTTATAAGATCTGTTAAGCTACGTGTATCTGAACTCAAAACCAGAAACAAAAGGTTAGGTCCTTGGAGAATTATACGTCTAATTATATTTGTAGAAGTTCATGTGTGCTGAACAACTGATTTATGTATACATGATTGAGAGCTAAGTATGTTTACTTTGTTATCTTTATTCCTACTACTTGTCGATAACGATGTGAAAGATGCAGCAGGGATTTAACTGCTTAATACGAAGAAAAGGATAAATTTAATGGCTGCTGTCAATTTCTCAAGACCTTGTTTTTTGTTCAAAATGAATAGTAGGATTATCACTTGACAAGCAATGAATCAGCAAAACTTTCATGTGACAGCAATACTGATTTCCTTTTCGTCATCAAGAAGGATTGAGCCATTTTAGTTTCTTTACAGATAACAAATTCACAAAGGATCCATGTTAAACTTTTAAACATTTCCTGATTGTGAAGCGAACACACATCTGGCCTAAGTAGAAGACAAATCCACATAACTATCATTTTTGTAGATAATATGAGCACATGAACCCAGACAAACTAATGTAGCCAATTTATCTTTTCCCACAAAAATAGTGATTTGAGTTTACTTGTCATCACCTTTATACCTAACTACAACATTAGAAGTCTAAATCAAGTTCTAGTATATTTCAATTAAGTTATAAACGATCACAAATAAATATAAGTAGGTGTGCAATGGATAGAAGCTAGGTTACAATAAGATTGGTGCACTAAGGGCATTTTTTGGATTAAGGCACTGAGTGGGAAACTAAAAAGAGAGGAATAGGAGGGCTTTGGTCTTCTTTCTCTTGATTGACTTTCGAGGAAAATGAAAACATAGAGAGGGGGGGGGGGCAAGGGAGGGATTAGGACTAGTTATGTTGCTTGTGTTTGGTTCATCCAAAAAAAAAAGAGTTGGAGGTAAAAGAGACCTATTTGTAATGGAAATTATATTTACTGCTAAATTAACAGGGAACTTTCTTTCCCCTCTCCAAACACTATGTTACTGTTTGCTTTCAAGCAAATACATAAAAAATGAGGAACAAAAACCAGTAACAGAACTAGGCAACTAAGCTATCCAAATGGCATCGAAGGAAACCTACTTTCCTTTCCTTTCTTTTGCACTGTAGTAGTACCCAGGGTGTCTTGCTAAATGTGAAACATGATCTTCAAGATAATAATTGCCATGAATGGCGTCTATTGAATATGACAAATACATACCACAGTTGAACCGATGCATTCTTCCCTTCCTGTCCTGAATTTTGAAAGCAAATGTGCCTGGCATGCTTGACGAAGGACAGGGAAGAGATCTCCCTGTGTCTGCCCCATCAGAAGCCATCTTTAAGGAACCCTCACTGAAATGTTAAACAAAAATATAAGAGAAAAAGTGTAAGCAAATCCTTATATGTAAAGAAAGTCGTCCACCTCCGGGTTTCCTCCTCATCATCAGGAGCAAGTGCCATGGCAGAATCCCAAAATTTTTGCATCATAGTGTTTGCAGCCTCTGTACTAACTCCAGCAGTATTTCCCACCTAGTTAAGGTGCAAACAACAAATATTAACATTCTTGCCACAAATAACAAGAGCACACTTGAGGAAGAGGAATTTGATATTCAAAATGTATTCTTTCAATTCCACTAAATCTACTAAACAACCAACAAAAGCAGAGATCTCTGTTCCATATAAATCATATCCTTGAAACAATAAGTATATAACTGTTGAAAATGAATTGCACATAAGATAGGAAACGAAGTTCTTGTACAGCCTAGTTCTACTGAGTTCTCAGAAATAAATGGAAGGAACAAGACAAGAATATGCAACTAAAACGGAAAAGAAACAATCCTACAGAATTACTAGTTCTTAAGTTTGTTTCTAATGTACAAGGAACCATTGCCATACAACCATTCATGTCAACCTCATCATAACAAAGGGAATAAACTGGGTCTGGATGGAATAAAGAACTAGCAAAATGAAATTCTGGAACCAACTAAAAGGAACTCAAGGACTTCATATGACAAGAATTTGAGACATTATATCATCTCTTACTGTTCTAGCAGAAACCCA